TACAATTATGTTTCATAATAATTTATTCTCATACTGAAATGCTTTTCAATCCTTAGCTTCTTTCCCATCAGCATTTATATGGTGATTACGCTGCAATTACCGGTAATAATTGTCAATTCTTTGTTTGTCAAAATATTTGTTTTCTGAAATTTTCTCAACAATGAATGATAACTTTGAAACAAACATTGAGATTAAGAATATTTTCTTTACATGGAGTGGAAATTTTGCACCAAAGCTTGACGGTATAACAGTTTTTGATTTAAATGACATTTTGAAATTTTGTAAATCTTTTCCTCGAGTTTGAACAGGGATATTTTGTGGAATGTTACAGTTGTTGTGAAGGTTTACTTTTTGACTGCAATATATGTTTTTAAACAACAATGTTTTATATGTCTTATTAGTGAAAAGCATGAATAAAATACCATCATACCCTTCTACATTTAATACCAATATCTTAAAGTCATATAAATAGAATAAAAAATATATAAAAAGTTTCTTCTCAAGGTGAAAGTGGGCACTTTTTTATGGAATGATTTGGAAATAAAACAGTGGAAACAACCACACAAATTAGTCCAATATTTGAATAAAAGTGTCAACCTAGAATTGTCATCATCACACATTTTACAAAATCACTACAAAAACAGAAATACTTGGAGTCCAGCTCCAGTTTTTGGCAGCTGTCCAAATATTCATTTGCTTATTAGCATAATTGAAGATGGCTGCATACATTAAAATGTCATTTGCATATACAAGACGGCAGCCACCATTGATATATAATTTTGTCCACACATGATTATAAAGTACTGAAGTCTGTTAGTTCTAAGTTGAAATTCGATGTTTGAATTCACACAAGTCTTTCATCTGCATCTGCATCTATCATGTTCGATAACGGCGTACCAACTTGCATCTCAGCCATGGATGGTTTGTATTTCCCCTTCTGCTTCCGAGAGTCACGGACTTTCCAAAGACAGCAGAGAATTAAAATTATAGCCAATATAATTATTAGAATGATGATCACAATGATTATCGTGGATGACACTCCAGTTTCAGCAGCAATCTCGCAGTAGACACCTGAAATGGGTAAAAAAAAAAGAAGTTCAGAGAACTGGCCAAAATAAAATACATGTATACCTACATGAAATTTAAGGTTTGATTATTCTATCATTTCAAAGTGTGGTGTTATATTTCTGCTTGTGAATCTAAAACCATGAAATCAGGCCTAAAAAGCAATTCAAATGTGGGAGAAAATGGGGTCCTAAAAATTGAATGAATCTACACAAACAAATTATTTGCTGTGTATGTGGAGAGTTTAAACTAACAGTTCAGAATAGCAATCATTTAAATGTACTTTGAACCATCAAATCTACAAGATTCAAATAATTTACACAAGGCAGATTTTGATATGCCGACAAATCCTGTAAACAAACATGCTGTTTTCTGATTTGTCTGTTCGTTAGGTGTATGGGCGACCAACTAGGCACAATCTTGTTAGTAGATTCACATTGATTGCAAAAGTATAGTCTGAATGTGGCTGTGGATTGATTGATTGATTGATTGATTGATTGAGTGATTGAGTGAGTGAGTGAGTGAGTGAGTGAGTGAGTGAGTGAGTGAGTGAGCAAACGAGCAATTGATTGGAATGAGTGAGCAGGTGGATGAGTGAGTAAATATACATTACAGTTCAAGCATAGTTCAACATTTAGCTGGCTTGTAGCTAGTTAGCTTGCTTTCAATTCTGTGGAGTTGTTTATGAAAATTATATTTATTTAAACAATTTTAGGAAAAGGCAAAGGCAGCAGATAGCCAACATGGAAGTTAAGTTACACCGGGACTGTACTGTAGTTGTAGAACGTCCACTCATTAAATTAGGTTACATATCCATGTGCACAGTCAAATTACATCACTGATATTCCTACATTACTGATATTACTCACCAGTATATTCAGCACTGCAAATACAATTATATGTGCCCACTTTGTTGACGCATTCACCACCGTTTTGACATTCGTGTTGATTGGTTTCACACTCATCAATGTCAACGTTACAAATATCACCTTCATAACCAGTGCCTGTACAGTCACATCGGTGACCGCCCACCTCATCAATGCACGTCCCATTGTGCTCACATGATTGGCTTGAACACTCGTCTATATTCAAATCACATGTTGCACCTGTATAACCCACATTGCACATACATGTGTAGCTTCCGAATGTATTTGTGCACGTGCCATGAATGCATGCATCTTCAAGTTCATTACATTCGTTAATATCTTCATTACAGCTGGTACCACGAAAACCACTAGCGCAGTCACAGGAGTACGAACCTGGCAGATTTGTGCAAGTCCCACCATTGCGGCACACTG